CTCACCCCTCACCTGACGCCATCACTCCCTCCTGCCCCCTCCCTCAGGATAATTAAGGAGTAAACTTTAATGGCGTGATTTAGTGAACTGTTGAACCAGGTTGAGAGAGAGAGAGTAGGATCTGTGCTCCTCACTGTAGGACTCGGAAGTAGGACTCTAAAAGATCTTTCCTGGAACTGCCCAAATTGGAGGCCCTCAGTCGGGAGTCTCGGAACACCGGCAGGTATTCGCGGCCCTTCAACTCCTGCCCCAGTGAGCTCCCTACTCCGTGAGGAAGAGGAGGAGGGGGGAGGGGGTAAGCGAAGTAGAAGGAGGATAGGGAGTAGGAAGAAGATAAAGGAGAAGTGAAGAGGAAGAAGACGAGAGAGAGAGAGAGAGAGAGAGAGAGAGAGAGAGAGAGAGAGAGAGAGAGAGCTGTGTCCCCCGCAGTTGCAGTAGAGTTGCTAACAATTACTCATGATGACGGAACAGAAATCAGCTGATGCGTTCATTCACAATTATTTACTCCCTGTTGCCATGACTACACAGAAGGGATATTATTGCCCCCTCTCTCTCAGTAAGGCACACACGACCTCGCTAACGTCATACTCCGAGTCTTGAGCCCCCACCCCCCCCACCCCCCACCCCCCCACCACACAGTCAAAGGAAGAAACGAAGATTCAGCAAAAGACTGAAATCCAGGAACTTGGAATATAGAATAATTTATGTAATCATGGCAGGAGGAGGAGGAAGAGGAAGAGGGAGGAGGAGGAAGAGGAGGAGGAGGAAGAGGAGGAGGAGGAAGAGGAGGAGGAAGAGGATGAGGAGGAAGAGAGGAAGAGGAGGAGGGGAGGGAGGAAGAGGAGGAGGAGGAGGAGGAGGAGGGAGGAAGTATGTAATGGAGGTGGAAGAAGAGAAGGAGAAGAAGGGGGAGAAAGAGAATTATTTATCGTATCTTAAAAGAGGTCAGGTCCGGTCAGTTAGTTAGGTTACATATCCTTCAAGTCGTTAATGATCTGATAACCTTAATACCTTGGTATGGCTGGTCTCCTATTCCTTCCTTCCTCCTCCTCCTCCTCCTCTTCCTTCTCATCCTCTTCCTTTTCTTCTTCTTCATCCCCCTCCACTTCATCTTCCACTTCTTTCTCTTCCTCCTCTTCTCCTCCCTCTTCCTCACACCCCCAAGCGTGTTATCCAGGTAATGAAAGTAACGCAGCAACATTACCTGTCACCCATGTATCGTCATATTTACACTAATTAAGGCCAGGTAACGTTCCCCAGGCGTGTTCTCATCATAAAAACACACACAGCACCTGAGACCAATATACACGGAGACTAGAGCTGTTTTTTTCCTATATTTTAAACATTAATTACTTAACACCCAGGTAATGTTTGGGTGGCTAACATTAATTACTTAACACCCAGGTAATGTTTGGGTGGCTAACATTAATTACTTAACACCCAGGTAATGTTTGGGTGGCTAACATTAATTACTTAACACCCAGGTAATGTTTGGGTGGCTAACATTAATTACTTAACACCCAGGTAATGTTTGGGTGGCTAACATTAATTACTTAACACCCAGGTAATGCTACTTGGGTGGCTAACATTAATTACTTAACACCCAGGTAATGTTTGCATGGCTAACATTAATTACTTAACACCCAGGTAATGTTTGGGTGGCTAACATTAATTACTTAACACCCAGGTAATGTTTGGGTGGCTAACATTAATTACTTAACACCCAGGTAATGTTTGGGCTAATCATCAGGTAGGCCATTTGTAAGATACACAAGTCTCTCCCTCAAGTGCATCTTACACGTCTCACCCTCAAGTGTCTCAAATATCTCTCCCTCCTGGCGGTGTCGAGAGATGTTAGGGTGACCTTAATGAGCCAAGGAGGTAGATGAGCGTGACTTCCTTTATGACGTCAGCATGGGTAGGTGGGGTAGGACAACTTCACACCTGGCCGACTACTCACTGGTTCGATCCCAAGGTGTGGTAGTGGAGATACAAAGACCATTGGTACAGTAGGAGGCGGTGAAGGTGATTGTGTACATAGTCGCTTTAAACTCCTCAGACTACAGTGAAAACTTCGATTTAACGGATTATATGGAGGAGTGTAGTCCGTTATATCAAGTGTCCGTTAAATGTGAAACCTCTGCATAACGGACTATACTCATTAGATGTCCTTTAAATAGAGGTCTCACTATACCGTGTTAGGAACCTATTCACAGCTGGGTGAACTTGAGGGAGGGGGAGGAGGGGTACCATGGGAGACGAACCAGCGACCATTAGGACGAGAGGTGAGCCCAGTATCCACTCGACCACCTCACCTCCCTTTCAGACTATATCCGGGTAAGAATCCTCATGTGTCCCGCCGGATACAGGGAGGGTTTGTTGCTATGTGTCTCTAACCCGAACGTGCTGACCCCCCTTCCCCCTCCCCCTTCCTTCCCCTTCCCCCTTCCCCCTCCGGATTGTGTGTTATGTAGTTTGCTTGTTTGTGTTGTTTACCTGT